CTCTGAGTTTGGGGTTCAAGACCCACGTTGGGCATAGAGTTTACTTTAAAAAAAAATGAACACACAGTACTTGTTTCAGAAGAAAAAGGGGGAGGGAACAGGAGCAGCACCACCCAATCTAATCTAAAGCCAAAACCAGACAAAGGCCATCAGGAGAAGGAAAAATAAAGACCCAGCTCCCTTCTGAAGGTATGTGCAAGATATGGAAATTAAATAATGGCAAATTTAACTTTGCGGACATCAAACAAAATTGGTTGTGTTTTATTCCAGGCATGTAAAAACAGTAAGATCACAAACTCTCTTAGTGCCATTCAGGTTAAAAGAGAAAAACTATGTGACCATCTTAATGGTCTGAGAAAAAACACCCAATACAAATCATAGTCACTCTTGAGTTTAAAACACTCTAACAAACTAGAATTAAAAAGTAACTTTCCAGGGCACCTGGGTGGCTCAGTCATTAAGCGTCTGCCTTTGGCTCAGGTCATGATCCCAGGGTCCTGGGATCGAGCCCCGCATCAAGCCCCGCATCGAACTCCACATTGAGCTCCGCATCGGGCTCCCTGCTCCACAGGAAGCCTGCTGCTCCCTCTCCTACTCCCCCTGCATGTGTTCCCTCTCTCACTGTGTCTCTGTCAAATAAATAAATAAAATCTTTTAAAAAAATTAAGAAAAAAATAACTTTCCAGGGCACCAGGGTGATTTAGTTGGTTGAGCATCTGACTTGGGATCAGGTGATGATCCCAAGGTCCTGGGATTGAACCCTGCGGTAGGTGGGCTCCCTGCTTACTTGGGGGGGGGTCGGGGGGGGTCTGCTTCTTCCTCTCCCTCTGCCCCTCCCCCTTTTATGCTCTCTCTCTCTCAAATAAATAAAATCTAAAAAAAAAGGTAACCTTCCTACCTGATAAACAGGATTCATCAAAAGCCTACCATTAATATATTTAATAGTGACATTTTGCGAAGAATTGTAATAAAGCCCTAGGGAAGGGGCATCTGGCTCGCTCTTTGGTGGAGCATGCACTGTTCATCTTGGGGTTGTGAGCTTGAGCCCCATGTTGGGTGTAGAGATTACTTTTAAAAAAAATCTTAAAAAAAAAAATAGCCCTCGGGAAGACAAAGATGGCCCCACTTCTGTTCAACCTTGTACTGAACATACTGAGTGCACATAGTGCCCACCTTTCACTCGACACTGTGCCAGGTGCAGGGTATACAAATATCATAGGATCTGAGCAGCAGGGCAAAATGCAGGACCTCGTGGGCCCGATGCAGTCGGGGAGACAAGCAGGTAGAAACAGACCATGTAATAGGATGGAGCCATAGTGGGGTGGCGGGTAAGGTGCTGAGGGAGAGGAAGGAGGGGTACCCCACTCTCTCTGAGGAGGGCTAAGTTATAATTTTTAAAAAAAGTTAAAAACATGAGTATCACATATAAAATGACTATGTAGAAGTAATTTTTCCAACTTGCTAATTAATGAGGAAACTAAGAAGACGTTAAGACCAGCTGAAAAGAGAATGGGAAAATCAGCCACGTATGTAGGCAGTCAGGAATGCTAGAATGGGTTTGCTAATCGATGCCACACTGCTCAGTGTCCTACGGGGCACTAACACAGAATGTTTGACATCATTTTCTCCTGAGGACAGACACCAGTTGTATCTTTGGGGGACAAAATCCATTTGCGTTGTTATGGACAAAAATTATTTCGGTTTTCTACAACTTAACACCCCCCCCCATTCGAAGCTGTAAAGTAGCCTTGTGTACACCCTCCTCCAGAGCCAGGCGAGCCCTGGGGAGGGGGCTATGCCCACACCCTATTGAAAGTGTGCTCATATCCTTCTGCCCATTTTCAAGGGGACAATCCCTCTGGGCAGGGGACTACGTCGGTCCGTTCACACCTGCAAGACCACCTTAGAGCACCTCAATTTAGCACAGAATGACCCAGAGCTTTTACTTTTTATTTTTTTAAGATTTTACTTATTTATTTGACAGAGAGAGAGAGTTCGAGCACAAGCAGGGGGAGCGGCACGCAGAGGGAGAGGGAGGAGCAGGGAGCCCGATGTGGGGCTCTATCCCAGGACCCTGTGATCATGACTTGAGCTGAAGGCAGATGCTTAACAACTGAGCCACCCAGGCAACCCCGTGAAAGGGGAGCTTTTAAACATCTTGATTCCCAGGCCACACCCCAGACCCATAAAATCAGTATTTCGGGGGGGGGGGATACAGGGGAAGTCCCTGGTGTCAGGCTCTTTAAAGCTCCTAGGTGATTCTGATGTGCTTCCAAAGTTAAGAACTGCTACTCTGAAGACATCCAAGCAAGAGCAGTTGGCCGGCTCCACTCTCCTCCCCTCCCACTCTCCACTTACCCCTCCCGCTCCTCTCTTCCCCATCCCTCCTCTCCTCTTCTCTCCTCTCCTCTCCTCTCCTCTCCTCTCTTCCCCATCCCTCCTCTCCTCTCCCCTCCCCTCCCCTCCCCTCCTCTCCTCTCCCATTTTCAAGGTGACAATCCCTCTGGGCAGGGGACTCTCCTCTCCTCTCCTCTCCTCTCCCTCCCAGGCCCAGCCTGGTTTCCATGGTGCCTCTGGGGGGGCAGGGGGTGTCCTGAAACTTGCCTACTTTTGTGCAGAAAACACCAAGTGGGGGCAGCCCAGGACAACCCCCTTCCATCCCCACCCTGGGGGATGGTCCAGGAAGATGGTATCTTTTGAAAATGTTTTCCTCCAACACCCAGAAGGAACCCACAGCTTGAGAGCAGCAAATGAGAAGAAATCTATCACCCTCAGGAAATTGGTTCCGGTGGCCTCGCAGAGCGACAGTAATCAGAAGCCCTTGGAGTGCCTGGCTAAATAAAAAGGTTTAAAACTAATGCACCAGCTGCTGCAGGAAAACGTGTAACCCCCAGATGGGTGGGCTGTGGGGCTGCCCTTATCTGCTAGGCAAGGGCATAAATCTGGGCACACAGGGGGGCCCCACCTCCCACTGGCTCCTTTCACAGAGCAAATCTGCTCTCAGCCTCCAGAACATGTTTTCAGCCTGAGAAGAGCTGCAAAGCCAGGGCAGGATGCCCACCTCCTCAGAAAGGGGGTGTGCGGGGGAGGGGGGTGTCAGGTTCAAAGGCAAACAATACCCATGACTCCCTGGGCCCCAAAGGGAAGTATCCTAAGGTGGGTACAGAAGACAGCTCTTGTCTGCTGAACCCCGGGCTTGCTCCAGTCCCTTGGCCTCTGAGCAAGGACACCGAGAGCCACTCAGAGTGGTGACAGGACTTAGCCAGGTCTTCCTTGGCCTCTCTGAGCCACTAGACTGAAGAGCAATAGAGTCCTCATTAAGATGAGCGGGAGGCACTCCGCGAACCACTAGGCAGCACTCCAATCCCAGGCATTGTTTCTACCCCTCCATCGGACTCTTGTAAGATGTGCCACTACGGGCGAAGAGGTTGTTTGTTACACATCAAAGTGATGGCGGGTCTCGCAAATCAGTGAATCCCTGCCAATCTGCAGAGTTCCTGTTACAGGTATAAATGTGCCCGGCATTCGGAGGGGACATTTTGAAAAGAAAGACACAGAGAAGCGCATCTGCCATTTCCCCAAGGATTGCTTCCTGAGCACCAGCTGTCACCTGGCCCTTTCATCCTTGAGCCTCCAAACACCATGCACAGCACCGGAGGCAGACACCAGAGTCCCCGCCCCTGTCCCTCCAGCAACAGGAGCACCTAGTTAAAAGGCTGTACTTTGCAAACTCCCTTGTAGCCAAATGTGACAAATCAAGGTGTCTGCAGGGCTGACTCTTGCTGGAGGCTCCAGGGAGAAGACTTTCCTTGCTCTTTCCAGCTTCTAGAGGGCACTGCATTCCTTGGCTCATGGCCCCCTTTCCCCACCTTCAAGTTCAGCAGCTTCCAGGGTCAAGTCTCCTCTCTGTCTCTCACTCTCCTGCTTCCGTCTTACAAGGACCCTTGTGATGACATTGGGCCCACCTGGACAATCCAGGACAATCTCCCCATCCCAGGGTTCCTAGCTTCATCTCATCTGCAAAGTCCCTTCTGCCCTGTGAGGTGACACATTCACAGGGTCCAGGGACTAGGGCATGCACAGCAATGGGAGCAATTGTGCTTTTCATCCCAGACCCACTATACCCCTGTCTCTCTGGCCTCACCCATGCAGATGACTTCCTTTGGGAACTGTCCACTCTGTGCCGCTCCTCACCCCACCCACCCTACACCAGCTAGAGAGGAGGGGACGGAGAGGAGCTGGAGTTCCAGAGGCCTGACCCCATCCGTGTGGGGTTCCTGAGCCCCTGCAGCTGCTCCATCCCTGGACACATCGGGTACATGAACGAACAAGTCCACTTTTTAATATAAGTCGGGTTGGGTTTCCGTCACCTTTACCTGCAAGACCCCACACTCTTTCAGGATGTTCCTTGAGGGTCCTGGAAGGGGAGGCCAGGTGCCAGAGGCTGGGGCTTCACCCTCTCCGTGAGGTGGCTCCGGGCGAGCCCGCCGCAGCCCCGGGGCTGCGGTCAGAGGGGGCTCCGCTCTCGGAAGGCCGGCACTGGGCACTGAGGACCGAGGAGCCTGGGGAGGCCAGGCCCCAGCTCTACCTAGGAGATTCGGGAGACATGCAGCCCCTGCCCTGGCTGCTCAGGCCATCTCTGCTGGGGAGGCCGGAAAGAAAGCAGAAGGCAGGCAGGGCAGCTCGAGCAATCACCATCTGCCCCGAGTGGGGCATTTGGCACTTCCGCAGTCCTCTTGATTGGAACATAACCTTAAAGGTCCTGTCTGTTAGCGTGGGATGTTATTCAGTCACAAACAGAAATGAAGCACCGATACATGCCAAAACTTGGATTAGCGTCGAAAAGAGGTGCCCCATCCCCGCGGACTAGCACCCGCCGGCTCCGGCCTCTTTAAGACGACCTTGGAGGACCCAGTTTCAAAGCCCAGGGCGACCCTCTGGCTGCCGCCTCTATGGTGCGTCGTCATTTCCGGCCGGAAGTGCGTGTGCAGAGCGGTTTCGGCGCAGGGGGCGGGGAGTGCGTAGAGGCGCGTGGTTCTTCGTGTCTAAGAGAGGGGGACTCCTCGCTTCGGACTGGTGGTCGACCCCGGCTTGCGGGGTGACGCGGGGGTCTCCGCTGTCACCGGCTCCAGCCTCAGCAGCAGGGCCCCGGACAGGGGAGGCGGAGGGGGCTTGGGCCGAACTCAGGCTCCGACGCCGGGGCGGGGCTGCGGCAGGTGCGGCTGCTGCCCGACGAGCCTGGGCGGCCGGGGCCAGCGCGAGGGTCTGGGGAGCGCGTAGATAGCGGATGAGACTCCTCTTCCTAGAGCACGTTGTGTGACTCTTTCCCCAGGGTTTCCTCAGAAAACGAGAACTTCCCAGCCCTCGGCGATTAGAAGCGGGCAGGCAGCGGTTGGCCATTTCCTCCTGGTCGGTGAGAGCACTCAGAGCGCGCTCAGTTTGGGGGATCCAGGTACGTCAGGCCCCAAGACGAAGAGTCTTAAGGCCGATGGTCTGGGGAAAGGCTCCTGTGTTGCTGAACCTGCCCGGTTGTGGGTGCAGCCTTGTACCAGGCAGCCCGACCCTGACCTAGAGTAAATTCCCGGGAGCAGTTTTTCCTGGGGTTTGAATTTGCAGTAACAGGTGTGAACATTCTAGCAGCAGTTTGATGATCATGTATGATACTGCAAACAGGACCCGCGCTGAAAAGAAAACCCTTAGAGTTAGTACCGGGGAGCAGTGGCTTCCGAAAATCTGGAAACAGTTGACCTCATAAATATCGATTGATACTTGGGCCGTGCACCGTGCTCAATGTTAGTGGGTGCAGAGATGAACAAGACAGCCCAGGCCCTTGTTCTCAGGGAGCTAAAGCCCCTTGAGGAGATGAGATCAAATGATTGCATTAAAGAGGGTGTAATTCAAGCTGAGGCTGAAACTCTGAAGGAAAGCACATTCCTGTTAGCAACATTACGGGGAGCGTGATGGAGGCTTTCCTGAGGATGGGATCCTTGAGCTGGACTCTGAAGGATGAGTGGGAGTTCTGTGGAAGGCCAGGGGGGTGGCTTGTGCTAAAGGTCCAGCGACCTAGCAAGTGTGGCGAGTGGAGGACTTGGAAGAAGACCATTGTAACCCAAAAAGCAAGGGCAGTGGTGTGGGGTGAAGTTGAAAAGGTGGAGAAGGGCCAGACGGCACAGGACCTGTGGCTCATGCAAGCATTTTGGTCTTCCCTAAGAATGCAGGGGTCATTCTGGGTTTTAAACAAGAGGATGATGTGCTGAAATCTGTAATTTCAAGACAACAGTATGTACAGAATAGTGCCTTCCAGTGGAACTCCCAGCAGTGTTGGAAATTGTCTATATCTGCACTGTTTGTTAGAGTTCCACAGTCCACACGTGGCTGTTGAGCACTTGGCAGTGTGGCTGGTGCTACGGAGGAACTGGATTTTTCATTTTACTTTAAATGTAAATAACCACGTGTGGCCAGTGGCCACCGTGTTGGAGAGCGCAGGCCTAGTGTGTATTGGAGGCCCAGGAGCACCTTTATTGGAATCACGCCACCCAGAGACTCTTACACTCTTGCACCTCATCCCCTCCCAGGTAAAGGCTGAGAGGAAGTCTGCTTTTTGAGAACCCTCCCATTTTCTGAGGAGTTCACACATAGCAGTGCCTTTATGTTGGCTGGAGGGCAGCCTGCTCCTGGTGAAGTGGCTCCCTCCCGTCATCAGCACACCGATGGAAGATGGAAGAGCGCCTGCCATCGTGGTCAGAGCATGCTCTCTGTGCTGGGGAGGGGGACGGAGGGGAAGGAAAAGCAGTCGCTGGTGTTAAGGCGGGGGGGGGGAGGGGTGCTTAGAATCTAGAGAGGTGGGCATCGTAAGTGCTATGGAGCCACAGGAAGGGACATACTCAGTAGGACCTAATGGAATGTGACCCCCCTGAGGACATAAAGGCTGTTTCCAGCTGGTGACACGTGGCAAAGGGCAGGAGGGGTGGAAATGCCTGAGGATGTGGGCAGCTCGTGAGTTGGGGCCAAACTGGAGAACCATGTGGCTGGAAGCAGGGAAGAAGATGTAGGAATACACAGGCTCGTGTGGGGTTTCAGGGCTAGCTTCATTGTGGCTTCCGTGCAGGCAGGTTTCTGAGGAAGGCCCCAGGCGGTGTGCGGATTACAGCCCAGAGGTGGGGGGGTAGGTAGGAGATCACTGTGGTTGCCTCCACGGAGAAGGTGGCCAGTCCTCCATGGAGTCTGCGGACCTGGAAGGAGGAGGGGCTGATAGAGGCGGGGTCACTGCAGGGCACCTTCCATGTTGTATTCTGGGTGGTAGTTACTAGATCTTGGAGGGTATTTTATGCTGCTAACAGACTTGCTAAGGTAGAGTGAAAACATAAAAGTGTACTTTCTTTGCAGGTGAGTTCACGGGAAGATCTGCGTGCGGGATGAATGCGTGCTGGTTTCTTTTCTGCCTGGTTCCGTGTACCCGAAGTGTAATTGTTGGGGACTTGGAACTTTCCGGGTTTCTTTGGTTTCATTTACTCAACCATGTAACTTCTGAATGCCGACCTGCTTAAGACCCTGTTTTGTATGGATATAAATAAAAGGGGTCTGTCCCCAAGGAGACTTTTTCATGCACTTCATGGTTTCCATCCCCGGGGACCTGTGTGCGGTGAGTCACCTCTGCTGCTGAGATGTGTGGTTGGCAGCACGGTTCCCAGCTGACGAGACTGAGCCGCTGGCGCTTCTCTGTAGGGAGTGTGAGCAGTGGGGGCACGTGGAGGGAGGTGACCATTGTCTCTGTGATCTAAGAGGAAGAGGGTGGCTGGTGTCGTTCAGGGTGGTGTTCACCTTGTGCAGACTTCCCTTTGAATAGAATTTCCCGGAAAGTGGCTGCTGGCCTCAGAACTGGTTGCCAGTAGCTGCCGGGCACTGCCCACCTCTGCTTCCTCACCTGGGTCTCTAGCCCCATGCGGGGGCTGTCCAGAGAATTCTCCCAGGCCTTCCTATCTTTTGAATGTTCGCCGTGTATTGATGTGAGAAAAGGAAAAACCACATCAGTGGTGGTTCCTCTATTTCACGCTGTCTTCGTGTGACAGGGTATGACACGTATGTTTTTACATGGCCTAGAAAGGTTATCCGGATCTTCAGACCTAGTCGTGCCACACCCAGGGTTCCTGCCTGACCTCCTTGCTTGTGTCTGTATTTTTCACATACTTAGTGAATCTCTTGACTTAACATCCTCTGGCCCAACCCTCCTCTTGTCCAGCTCAACTCCCAGGGAGTCTGGCCCTCGAGTGCCTGCAGAGCCAAGAATGTAACTTCAAACCTTGCCAGGGAGGCCGTTGGTGGGCTTTGTAACAGACCCACAGTCCGAGAGACCGCCGCTGTGGAGGGCGGGCATGGCCACCCCGGGAGACAGTGGCTTGCGTGTCAGCCCTGAAGGGCAGACATACCCACACTGTCCGCACCCGAGGGGTTAGCGTGGGGCTTTCACATCCCAGCTCCACCCCTGGCCTGCTGGGTGACCTCAGGCAGGCCACTTCCCTATTTCTTAGGAAAACGGGACCATGATGACAGTGACTCCCAAAGGTGGGCGCTTGTGAGGAGTCAGCAAATCATGTGACATGCTCGGGAGCACTTCAGACCCGTGAGCTGGCTGCTGCCCATTCTTGGATTTTTAGGGCACTTCATGGTGTCTCTGGCTGCGAGTTTCCAGGACGCTGCCGTGCGGCGGGTCCTGGGGTACAAGGTGCTGTCGGCCACAGGAGGGTCCTACCTGCTACCGGGAGCTGAGGTGGGTTTGCTACAGGCTCTTGGCTTTTTCACCCTGTCCCATGTTCACGTTTGGGCCTCTCATGAGAGCACGTAAGTCTCAGTGTGGGCCCTGCCCTCTACGTGCTTGTCTTTAGAGAAAGTGTAATCATTGCCCAAATTAACATGTTGTGTCCGGATACGTATACTGGGGGAAATTGTACGTATTGGTATTTCTGGAAGAAACAGGTTGGAGCCCGCTCAGGGCTTTGTTCTCTGTGGTGTTTCTCTTGAGTGTAAACGTCCATCTGGGCACAGCGGCTGTGGGCAGGGCCTTGTCTGGCCTTGGTGTGTGTCGAGGAGCAGCGGTGGGGCTCTGTGTCTGCAGACTTCGCTCAGTGAGTTGCTTCAGCCTTTGGTTCGATAGATTAACCAGAAGCATTAGCTCCTGGGCCCCCCTGAGCAGGAACATCGTGTTTCTAGCACGGAACATGATGACATGGGAGTGCTTCATATTGATAGAGTCGTTTGTGATGTGCAGGTACCTCTTTCTCGTTCTCATTTGGCATTGGCGTCAATGGAGGAGGGTGCCTGGGTGTCCCCGGTGCATCCACACGGCTCGGTCTGAGACCTCTCAGGGTGGGAGAGCCTGCCGAGAATGGGAAGGATGGATGGGGAGAGACTGCTCTGATGCTGAGGGGGGCGTGGGCTGAGATCCTGCAGTCTTCCCTGGCAGCCCCTATCCCCTCCAGATGCTGCTCCAATGTGGGTGCTTAACCTTGAACCTCTGCCCCTTTCCTCTGGGGCCGCACCCCAAGACAACAGCCTCCATCCATCCTGCACCCTGATGCGGTGTGCTGGGTGCTGTCAGTGACGGGAGGGAAGCCCAGAACCCACAGGAAGGGCTCGGGATTGCATTTGGCTGAGGCCATACCTGAGAATATTCCCCAGCTGTCTCCTCAGTCATTCGGTTCCAGCTGGCCTGGGCGCGGCGATGGTGTGCTTGCTCCCCTGAAAGAACATGTATCTAAAATAGGCTGCGATATGACGTGGATGGGCTTCAGCATTTGTGGGTTTTGTTCCTCTGGATTATGTAAGAGAGGGTTGAGGTAGGCAGGAGCCCAGTCTTTTCAAAGAGCTGGGCTTTTTAATAATAGCAGTGGATAGTGAAATGCACAGTCTGTAAGAAGTAATTTTTTTAATGTTAAAAATGGCCGTGGAGGG